TAAAGTAGCTCCAAACTGATGAAGTCAAGCTATGTAACAAAATGTCTTCTTTCGGTATTAGTCTTTTCGCGGCGGCGGCCATCTTGTCGTAGTCAAGGCGTCATAGACAGTCGAGGCAAGCGGCCCAGACAAAATGGCGCCTAGTCGTGGGACAAGAAATGACGTCTTGCGTATTGTGCAGTGCCAGGAGATTGTGTGCTCGGGATGTGTGCCGCAGCGAGGAGGGAAAGTTACAGTTTATCGGCCTGCGTAGTTTGGGTGAGTAAATGGGGGCCGGGCAGGCGGGGGGTTTCCTGGCTGCTAGGCCTGTGGTCATTGTTGTAATGGAGAGCAAGGGTAGTCATGTGACTAGCAGTGGATGTCAATGGGGAATTTGATCATTTGTTTGTGCCGCCTGTTCCAGAGGGCGCTGAACGACGAAGAATGGCTGTAAAAGGGAAATGTTCATTTGTTTCATTTAACGGGTGTGCAGTTATATATTTATATTTGTCAGGGATAAAACCACGTGACTCGGAAGTAGCTCTAAACTAAATAAAAATTGTCTCCGTCCGTCATTGTTCTTTCCGCCGCGGCGGCCATCTTATCGGAGTCTCGGCCCCTTAGGCGGTCGAGGAAAGCGACTCCGGCAAAATGGCGCCGTGTCCGGGACAGGAAGTTGCTTCCTGCGCTCGGAGTAGTGCAGGATTATTGTGAGCTCGAGATGTGTGCTGCAACAAGGAGGGAAAGTCACATTTTAGCGGCCTGTGCGGTTGGGGTGAGTAATTGGGGGGGGCAGCAGTTGGCCGACTGGGGGCTCTTCCTGACTGCTGGACCTGTTCTTATTGCTGTAATGGCGGTCCACGGTGGGTCACATGACTAGCAGTGGATGTTATTGGGGGATTCAGTGTTGCTTTTATTAATTTCTGTGTGCTGCCTATACCATAGCGCAGTACAGAGGACGTAGTGCGCAGACCGGCGTGTGACCTGATGCCCCTATGCCGCTGGGACACATCTGGGTGGAAAATGACCATTGAGTCCAGTCATTTAAAACAAAATTCTCAAAAAATGAAAAGAAATCCCTCAGGACCAATTCACTGAGCGATAACGATCGTTTCTTGCAGCCATACCGCTGTATGTTCAGTTCTCATCCTCTCCTCGTTTAAAGTAATAATCGTTATAACTCCGTGATTTACCTGCATGTGTCCCCAGAACCCAAAAACCTCCTGCATATGACAAGACCAGTCCCCCTGCACAAGGAGAGAGCGCAGCAGTGAGCGGTCTTTATTACAGGAGGGGGGCGGAGATCAGACCAGTCACCCTGCACAAGGGGAGAGAGCAGCAGTCTTTATTACAGGAGGGGGCAGAGACAAGACCAGTCACCCTGCACAAGAAGAGAGATCAGCAGTGGGCGGTCTTTATTACAGGAGGGGGCGGAGACAAACCAGTCACCCTGCACAAGGACAGAGAGTAGCAGTGACTGGTCATTATTACAGAAGGGGGCGGAGACAAACCAGTCACCCTGCACAAGGACAGAGAGTAGCAGTGACTGGTCATTATTACAGGAGGGGGCGGAGACAAGACCAGTCACCCTGCACAAGGAGAGAGAGAAGCAGTGAGCGGTCTTTATTACAGGAGGGGGCGGAGACAAGACCAGTCACCCTGCACAAGGAGAGAGAGCAGCAGTGAGCGGTCTTTATTACAGGAGGGGGCGGAGACAAGACCAGTCACCCTGCACAAGGAGAGAGAGCAGCAGTGTGCGGTCTTTATTACAGGAGGGGGCGGAGACAAGACCAGTCACCCTGCACAAGGAGAGAGAGCAGCAGTGAGCGGTCTTTATTACAGGAGGGGGGCGGAGATCAGACCAGTCACCCTGCACAAGGGGAGAGAGCAGCAGTCTTTATTACAGGAGGGGGCAGAGACAAGACCAGTCACCCTGCACAAGAAGAGAGATCAGCAGTGGGCGGTCTTTATTACAGGAGGGGGCGGAGACAAGACCAGTCCCCCTGCAAAAGGAGAGAGCAGCAGTGAGCGGTCTTTATTACAGGAGGGGGGGCGGAGACAAGACCAGTCACCCTGCACAAGGAGAGAGCAGCAGTGACCGGTCTTTATTACAGGAGGGGGCGGAGACCAGACCAGTCACCCTGCACAAGGGGAGAGAGCAGCAGTGAGGGGGCAGGTAGGGCGCTGTAATAAAAGGTTTCGTATTTCTATTTACTTTTTGTTTCCCGTCTCAGATCTGCTCCTCTATGACTTGCTGAGGGAGGAAGGACCACACACAGGAACCTGCAAATGTCTGATCGCTAAGGAAGTAAGAAAGCCGTACCGACGTGTGTAATGAGGGTTGGGAGGTCATGTGACCCATTGGAAGGTTTTATTCCAGTTGTAACTCTTTTCTTTTCTCTAGCTGAGATCCCGAAGATGAATTCCGCCCCGGCAGCCGCCGGCGTGAAGAAGAAGAGAGTGCGAGTAAGAAAAAAACCGGGCAAGCCGGGACGGCCATGGAGGGCATGGCAGCAGAGGAAGGCGGGGCAGCCGGGGAAACCTGCGGAGAAGGGAGTGCAGGCGGCGGAACCTGCGCAGCAGGGAGATCCGGAACAGCCGGGGAAGTCTGCACAGCAGGATAAGGGGGGGCAAGCCAAGAAACCGGGACAGCAGGATAAGGTGGGGCAAGCCAAGAAACCGGGACAGCAGGATAAGGGGGGGCAAGCCAAGAAACCGGGACAGCAG